TGACTGAAGAAATACTTTCTAACATCCCTTTGACTCATCTGAGTCTTCAGCTTCCAATTGTGACCCGTTGTTTCTGTGTCCCATCTCTGGAACATCCTGTCTTTGTCTGCCTTGCCTATTCCGCGCAGTATTTTATATGTTGTTATCACGTCTCCCCTGATCCTCCTGTCCTCCAGTGTCGTCAGACCAATTTCTCTTACCCTTTCATTGTAGGACAATCCCTTTAGGTCTGGGACTAGTCTTGTTGCAAACCTTTGCACTTTCTCTAATTTCTTGATGTGCTTGACCAGGTGTGGATTCCAAACTGATGCTGCATACTCCAGTATGGGCCTGACGTATATGGTATACAGAATCTTGAACGATTCCTTACTGAGGTACTGGAATGCTATCCTTAGGTTTGCTAGACACCCGTATGCTGCAGAAGTTATCTGTTTGATGTTCACCTCAGGAGATGTGCTCGCTATTATGCTCTTTGGCCACCTAGACTATACTCTGTCTGTGGTCTTCTTTGCCCTTCCCTGATCTTTGTGACTGTGCATTTGGCAGGATTAAATTCAAGAAGCCAGTTGCTGGACCAGGCTTGTAGCCTGTCCAGGTCTCTTTGTAGTGCTGCCTGATCCTCGACTGATTTGATTCTCCTCATTAACTTCACATCCTCTGCAAACAAGGACACTTCTGAGTCTATCCCTTCTGTTATGTCATTCATGTACCAAAAACAGCACAGGTCCTAGGACTGACCCCTGTGGAATCCCGCTTGTCATAGGCACCCACTCTGACACCTCGTCACATACCATGACTCATTGTTAACTCCCTGTCAGATATTCTCTGATCCATTGCATTGCCTTTCCTGTTATGTGTGCCTGATCCTCTAGCTTTTGCATTATCCTCTTGTGAGGAACTGTGTTGAAAGCCTTCTTGCAGTCCTAGAAAATGCAGTCTATCCACCCCTCTCTCTCTTGTCTTACTTCTGTCACCTTGTCATAAAACTCCAGTAGGTTTGTGACACAGGATTTTCCTTCCTTGAAACTGTACTCGTTGTCGATTATACGCTTGTTTTTTTCCAGGTGCTCCACCACTCTCCTGATGATGATCTCCATGACTTTGTATACTATACACATTAGTGACACAGTTCTGTAGTTTAATGCCTCATGCCTGTGCTTTTTTAAAAATTGGGACTACATTTGCCATCTTCCATACCTCAGGTAGTTGCCCAGTTTCAATGGATGTATTGAAGATCTTTGTTAATGGCACACAGCATCTCTGCTCCCTCTCTGAGGACCCATGGAGAGATGTTGTCTGGTCCCACCAACTTTGAGGTATCAAATTCACATAACAGCTTCTTCACCTTCTCCTCGGTTATGTGTACCTCATCCAGCACTTGTTGGTGTACTCCCCTGTTCTGAATTCTTGGAGTCCTGCCCCTTCAACTTCCTGGAGCCCATAAACAGACTGACCTCTTTCTTTCATTCTCCCACTGCATAGCCCTAGGTATCCCAGATTTGATGTAGTTGGCTCCATTGCAGCTTTCCTGTCTTTAGTTTCTTCACTATCTGTTGTCCCTGGGCCCAGTGGCCTTCTCAGCTTTCCCTGGGGTCTGCTGTGGTCTGTTAGGGCCTCCACATATAGCTTAGATCTTTCATTTTCTACAGTCCCCTCGATTGCTCCTGATGTAATTCTCTCTCTTTCTCAGGCTCTGCAATGGTCTGATAGGGCCTCTGCATACCGTTTCACTTCTTCATTCCCTACAGTCCCCTTGTTTGTGACCAAGGTAGCAGTCTCTGATGTCATTTCCAAATTGTTCTTCAGTTCTTTAGGCTATTTCAGATTTTTCAGTTCCTCTTCTAATCTCTGTATCTTACTCTCTGCTGCTGTGACTTTCATCTCCCAATTCTTGCTTTCAGCATCTATCCTCTCCTCCACTCTCATGCTATGCTCTTCTAGCTTCTTTCCCCACTCCTGTTCCCGTTTCATGAGCTCCGGTGCCCAGTCTTCCTTCGCAGACTCGTCCTCCAGTCCCCTGGTTTTCCTTCCTGCTCTCTGGCAACCCATTTTTTTTTGTTTTGGTTGCCACCGAATGAAAAACTTATGTAATTATGTGTGTTTGTTTTGTGGTGTGTTTGTCCATGTGTGTGGGGGGCTGAGGGAGGGAGGGAAGGAAGGAGAGGAGAAAGCTGAAGACAGTGGCAAAATGAGATAGGGGTGGGGATGGGGAATGAGGGGGGAATATGGGGAGAAAGGAGGAGGGAGAAGCAAAGCGGGAGAGAGAATGGGAGAGGGAGAGGGAGTTTGAGTCTCTCAGATATTGTAGCAGTGACCATCCCCCAGGATGCGACCCACAACAGTTGACTAACACCAGGTACCTATTTACTGCTAGGTGAACAGAGGCAACGGGTGTAAGGAAACTTACCCATACGTCTCGCCCTGCCCTGTGTGTGTGTGTGTGGAACTATATGTGGATATATTAAGTGTGTGAAAAGTAGAAGGTGGGATTGTGTTGTGGTGTATGAGTGTGTATGTGGAGTTTGCAGTGCTTCCCTACCTGGCTTGCCCCACACCCTCCTGACTTGACCCACACCTACCTGGTCTACAGTGCTCTATCTGATCTGACCCACACCCACCTACTAGGTTATGTCCTCTATGCTTATACTTTTTCCTAGCCTAATAAACACCTGTCTGCTTGCCCTGTTCTACTGTAAGTTACTAATTGCTATTTGTTATTGAGTACTTGTTATCCTATTCTTTATCATACTAGGAGAGTTGGACTGTTCACAAACAGCTTGGCAGTAAAATGGAACTCTCACCTGACTCCCCGCAAACCACGCATAGGTGAATACTTGCGATGCAGCCTGTAGATTGTCCAACTTGATGTGATGTCCTGGCGTATATCCACTTCCATTTCTTGTCGATATATAGTATAACATACACTGTATTTCTTTCACTGGTCACACATTTATTTCACTCTATTATCTTTCTTGAGTACACATTTGGCAACGTCGCCTGACACACTAGGCCTCCTACTCTGATTTGTGCCCACCAGGTACCACTCTAATTCACTTATAGAATTGTGGCTCTCCCCACACTTGTGTGGCTCAGGGCAACTTGTAAATTGCTTCAAGGATTGTTCATTACCCTGACACACCTAATGACCCTTGCAGTACCCTTGGGTAGCCCTCAAAAACACTTATATTCACGGAGCACTAAATGTTGCGACTCACGCACGTGGTGTCCCTACTGTGTGTGTGTGCGTGCACGTGTGTGCATATGTGCGTGCATGTGTGTGCATAAATGCAAGAAAATCGAATGGCAAATATTTAATGGAATTTAATAAAAAGTGCCACAAGAGGGAATTGGCTAATAGGAAATACAGGCCACACAAAGAATTTATACTGTGGGATATAATATTGAAAGTCTCAGATGAAGACAGTCCCTAGATTGTCACAAAATTATTTTATAAATTTCATTTGTAACCACTCGTTCAACCTTGGTAAACATAAAAATAGCTTTCGGATATGTGGATGGTGAAATGCTATAAAATACTGTTTACAACATTCAGTACTCTATATAAGACTATAGTTAGAATTTACAACACGTAGATGAAAGATAAATATGGCTTTCAGAGCTATGAAAAAAAACTACCCAAGGTAGCTGAAAATGGCCACATTGGTTGATATGAGGAAAAGAGGAGACATAACCGCAAATGAAAATCATGAAAAGGATTGAAAAAATGTATATGCTGTAGAAGATTTCACAGAATCTTGTTAAAGCTTTTGTCTTATCATACCTGCATCTCCACTGTATTGTCCAAGCATTTTGAGTGAGTACCCTTCCAGTTCTGAGCCTATTGCAAAAGCAGAGTACACTGCATATCCACTTTGTTGGTCAAAATCTGCCAGATCCACTCGTAATTTTGATACCTGTGTATGAAAATATACAGTATTTTGACTAATTTATCTACACTGGTATTTTAAATTAGTTCAGACCAATAAATAATGTTTGTATGTATAATATTAATAAATATTTTATATCATTATACAGTATTGACACAACTGTCTGGAATTTTATATACAGTAAAATTCACATCTTACACGTTGGTTTGTGAGTAAGTAAATATTCTCATTCCCTAGCCAAAATTCGCCAGCCAAGTTTCCAAACCCATACTTATAGTCGGCCCATTCACGAAGAAATTCAACAGAACCATCCTCCCTCCTCTGGATGACCTAAGGATTATTGGCTTAGTTATTATCACCATTTGTGTCATATATTCAGAATTACTGCAACATTAAAAAAATCATTAAAGTAGAATGAATGAATGAAATAAGGACATTAACTTTTAGATTTTTATATAAAATTAAGGAAGTCTACAGTTCAGTACAGTGGGCTCTAGTTTTTCGTAATTGATACGTTCCAGAGAGTGTGACTAATGGCAAAATTGACAATTTGAATAATGTAAATCCAATTAATCCGTTTCAGACCAAAGGTATTAATAAAAAAAATATTTTTTACATGAAATATAGATTTACATACACAGAAAACAATAATATCACACTTACTTTTATTGAAGACTCTTGTTGGTGTATGAATAAAATATGTCATTACGTATGTTAGGAATTGTGGCGGCGGCAGGGGTGTGTTTGGAGGCAGGCCAAGATAGTCCTTCAATATGACACTAATATCAACTCTACGGCTTATTTATCTATCACAATTCATCTAATATGACATAATAAACAATATTAATAACATAGAAACATGACATATACTCTAGAATGAATAAAAAATGTCATTACATATGTTACGAGTGGTGGTGGTGTTGGGTATATAAGGCTCACCAAGAGCATAAGCCATACATAGTGGTGGTGGAGGCTGCAGTGTTGTCAGTAGCCCTATATAACTCTAACAACACTTGAGAGTTAGGTTTGTGCTGTCCTTTTTATTTCGATTAATCGCCTAACTTACTTGCTACACTGTTAATGCTACACTTCATCGCTGGCTGGCCTAGAGCCTTTATCGACTCGTGCTGCTTTAGTATCATACATATTGTAGAATCACTGAAGAAGGTACATTCTCCCCTCTCTCTTCCTCCTCCACTTTGAATTCTATTGTGTTTCTCACTTTCTTTACCAATGGTCTGGCACTAGGTGCTTTTTTGGGGGCCATGGTGGCTTATTTAGTAGTTGCAAGCAGTAAAACAAATGGAATACGAAATGTATCGTATGAACGTTTGGGAGCGTCCTTACTCGCTGATAAATAATGGCACACTGGCTGTGAATGGAGTGTGGGGTCACTCAGGGCTGTGTGTACGCGTCTGGGATGAACAACTATTTATGAGTCATGACGATTCGCGAGTCAATATTTTGACGAAAAAACGTTACTAGTATTATTGAAAATTACAATTTCCGATGCCTACAAAAAACGAGGGTCCACTCTATATAGAAAAATTCCCTGCTAGCAAAATAAAAAAAAAGTACAAAGTAGAAATGTAAAGAGCAAAAAGGCACAATACCGTGATGAACAATACACAAATATTCTGCACCTTTTCTCCTTTCCTCCTCTTCAAGGGGGGCTCCTTGGCATGGTAAAGAGGCTCTTGGTCTGAGGAATTAGACCTATCGGTCTTCTTCCTCAGACCGAACCTAATTACCCCCCAATCTCCCCTCCCCTATCCCATCCTCCCCTTTTTCCTTTCCTCCTCCTCCTCCCCACCCCTCCCTTTTGCCCTTCCTCTTTTTGTCCTTTGGGATTTCTCCCACAGGCACGCTAGTTCCTAGGTAGGGGAAAGGATACCGGGGTCCATCCCATTCCGTTGAGGTTCTTAGCGGTGGCGTAGTTTGCCGTGGAATCTGGATCGCCTGGGGATGTCCCGATCCCTCTCCGGTATCCCGGAGTAGCTTTGGGTGTCTTTCGGGCGACGAGTGTATCTCTGGAAGCCACCTTTCGGATTCCGGGGGTGGTGGCCGAAGGAGGTATGCTTTGTGGCGGATATCCGGCCGCCCTCTCTTTTGTCCACCGAGGTAGCTCGGCAGATGTGAGGTTGCTATCCCGGATTGTTAGTTTACTAGCATGATGGGTAGGGTATGGCACGGGTTCCATGCTGCATCTGCGCTACTTGCGGTGCTGAGGTCCTCTTGGGCGCGAAGGGAGATTTCTGGCCCTTTCATTCCTCCTAGGAACTATCCCTCCCCGGTCCCCCCTTTTTTTATTCTTTTTTTATTTTCTTTTCTTCTTTCTTTTTTTTCTTAAAAACAAAAAGAAAGAAGTAACCTAACCGTGGCAGCCCTAGTCCATGAACCTGGTACCCCCGGGCCCCTTCTTGATACCGCACCCCGTTCTGACCCCGCCTCGTCTTTGGACCACTCTTCAGACATTCCTCATGCCTCTGTACCTATTGCCGGTGCTGTTTCCTCACCCGCTTCAGGTACTGAGGCCTCGACTGACTCCTTCGATTTATCGGACCTTCGCTCTCCTCTGACTATGCTTCCGGCCTCTCCCTCTACGGTGCAGCAATTTTCAAATCGCCGACCCGTTCCACGTCGGACCAACTCTGGTCCCACGCCTAAACGCCAACAACAATTACCTGCTGATGATACTTCTCCCCTTCTCGTTCTTCTCAGAAAACGATCGACACGTCCTTCACTACCTTTCCACGCTCAGTTTCAGACTGAACAATGGACTAAATTCTTCACTTTACGACCAACTTCCTCTACTGCCTATCTTTCTGACCATAGTATTGGCAAGGCACTCCTTTTGCCATGTTGGTAAAGATATTTCTTTCATGCTCTTAAGAGCGGTACGCGCATCATTACCGTACAGAATGCTACCCAGGCTCATGAGCTCTCTCGTCTTTCCCATATCGATACTGTTCCTGTCACTCTTGAAAAAACATCATTCCCTCATTCTTGTAGTGGTACCGTCATTCTGCCCCATACCATAGTTCAACAAAATTTCCAGACATGTGGCACTGACATTCTAGAACAGCTGGAACTCCAAGATCTCCCAATCCTCAAGGTAGACACTTACGTTCTTCCTGCCTGTGGGCGGAGACGATACCCTAGCAATGTGGCTCGTTTAACTTTTGACAGCCGAGAACTCCCATCCTCAGTTTATATAGCAGGACATCGGTTACAAGTTCGAAAGGTGATCCCTACAACCACAACAGTGTAGAAATTGCTGGCGATTTGGCCATCCAGCGAAATATTGCAGATCTATCGCCGAATGCCCAGTCTGTGGTGCCGATGACCATTCTAATACGTCTTGCAATCGATCTCCCTCTTGCCTTAACTGTCATGAGGCTCACCCTTCGTACTCTCGCCGTTGTCAGGTCTATTTAAACGAGCGGGAAATCCGTTACCTCAAAGAGACAGAAGGTCTCCCTTATGCCATGGCAGTTTCTCATCTCCGCCTCCAAGGAGACTCCCACGTGTTTCTTTTTCCCGTGTTTCAAAACGTCCCCCACTTCTGGTATCCCATCTTCTAAAACCCACCTCTGTGGTTACCTCTCCCATAATCACTCCTGTATCTAATCCTTTTGCTGTCCTCGGCTCAGACGTCCCTACTTCAACGCCTCAGTCTAATCTCGCTTCTTCAAGTTCTCTCTCACAAGCCTCAGTATCGACGAGACCTCGTACGACACCTCCTCCCAATCGTCCCTCAAACTTCTCAAAAGTCAAAAAAAGGTCCGTTAACACCTCCTACCCATCTTCCACCTCCTCATTTTACCCTCCCTGTCTCTGTCCCTGGTTCTTCCCCTCTCACTGGCTCAGTTACAAGTGTAGAGGTTCACCCTCCTCCTTGTACTGTCCCTTTCCCTCCCCTGTTCCCTCCCAAGTTTCTTCCTCTTCTGCCACCTCCCAGGTTCCTGCCTCTTCTGTCCCCTGCCATGCTTCTCCAGTTCCCTCCACCCTTTCGCCCCCCCTACCTTGGTACAGTCCAATACAGTTCCAATCTTTACTCATCCTCCCCCTACCATTCCCCAATATTGTCTCCCATACGACATCTCTGAATTCCGAAACACTTGAAGCAATCTCTGAATATATTGCAGAGACCAAACCATCAATGGACACTGATCCACCTTCCGCTCTTTTTCTCTCCTCTGCTCCATCTGCGCAACTCCTTTCTTCACAGCGCACCGTTCCTTCGCTGCTTGAACGTTTTCCACTGCCTCCGCATGTGGACTTTTCTAACCCTTCTAGTCCGTAGGAACCCTTACCTGCGGATTTCAAGTATCTTTATCATTGCCAATCATGGCCTATTTACAGTGGAATATACGCGGCCTCAGGGTAATCGGGGTGAGCTTCAGATGTTACTCTCCCAGTTTGCCCCTGTTGGTGTTTGCTTACAGGAACCAAAATTACACTCTGCTGTTATTTCTCACATCTCAGGCTATAATTTATTGTATTCGTCAGATCCTTTTCCTGATGGGACCTTTAATGAAAGTGCCCTTCTTCTCCGCACTGATATTCCGTACCATCAGCTATTTGTTCATACTTCGCTGCATTACACAGCAGCCCGTATCCACTTACATAGGTGGTATACGCTCTGTTCTTTATATCTCTCTCCTTCTCGGGCATTATCTATTCCGGATTTTGCCTTCCTTGTTTCGTCATTACCGCCACCGATTCTGTTACTTGGTGATTTTAATGCCCACCATTTCCTCTGGGGGGGTCTCACTGTGATTCCCGTGGAATTCAGTTAGAGGCCTTTCTTGCCACCCACCCCCTCCATGTTTTAAATACAGGTACTCACACCCATTTTGATCCTCGGACTCATACTCTCTCTTGCATCGATCTCTCAGTCTGCTCTTCCTCCGCCACATTAGACTTCACTTGGTCTGTTCTCCCGGACTTACATGACAGTGATCATTTCCCAATCATTCTTACTTCCCCTTCATATTCACCACCTCTTCGCACCCCACGCTGGCAATTTAATCGGGCAAATTGGAACCTTTACTCAAACCTAACTGTTTTTAAAGAGGTTCCTTCTTCGTCCTCCATCGATGAGCTTTTACACCTCTTCTCGTCCTCCGTTTTCACCGCAGCTTCTCATTCTATACCCCAAACTTTGGGCAGGCATTCTCAGAAATGCGTGCCTTGGTGGTCTCCTGCTTGTGCTCGTGCAGTACGTTTGAAACGCGCTGCATGGGGCAGGTACCGGTACAATAGAACCACAGAGCGACTCCTTGATTTTAAACAGAAGCGTGCGATCGCTCGCCGTGTCATCCGTG